ATATATATATATATATATATATATACATCAAATATTTACACTACAGTTCAGTAAGATTTAAAAAAAAAATTTTTTACAGTTTTAGTCAGTAAAGATGCGAAAGTGTTACAAGACATATTTTTCAAAAAATTTAAATTTAAATTTATTAAATATTTCCACATTATAAATGTTTCCACAAAAATATTAAGCAGCACAGCTTTAACATAATAATAGTAAATGTTTCTTGAGGACTAAAGAATGATTGTGATGATTATTGATGATTATGTGACACTGAAGACTGGAGTAATGATGAAAGTGAAAGTGACATAAGTGCGCACACACAGCAGTGAACACACACACACTCCGTGAACACACACCTGGAGCAGTGGGCAGCCATTTATGCTGCGGTGCCCGGGGAGCAGTTTGGGGGTTCAGTGCCTTGCTCAAGGGCACCTCAGTCGTGGTATTGAAGGTGGGAGAGAGCGCTGTACATTATACTTAGCCTATATTTTATACATTATCTAATGTAATAATATATCTCACATTGGACTGCTCTATGCTAAAATATTCGTTTAGCACCACTCATACCTTTTAAACTTCAAATTTTATGGAGCACGGCAAAATATTTTTTATATAAGGACTTTAAAATTACAATTTACACAAATGCATGCACAAACATTTTACACAAGCAAGCTTTGAGAAATACTATGTCAATGTATTTTAACTAATGATCTATTAGGCGTTGTATAATTGATGGACTGTTTTTAGTATATCTTCTCAGATGTCTGATATATATATATATATATATATATACATCAAATATTTACACTACAGTTCAGTAAGATTAAAAAAAATTTTTTTTTACAGTTTTAGTCAGTAAAGATGCGAAAGTGTTACAAGACATATTTTTCAAAAAATTAAAATTTATTAAATATTTCCACATTATAAATGTTTCCACAAAAATATTAAGCAGCACAGCTTTAACATAATAATAGTAAATGTTTCTTGAGGACTAAAGAATGATTGTGATGATTATTGATGATTATGTGACACTGAAGACTGGAGTAATGATGAAAGTGAAAGTGACATAAGTGCGCACACACAGCAGTGAACACACACACACTCCGTGAACACACACCTGGAGCAGTGGGCAGCCATTTATGCTGCGGTGCCCGGGGAGCAGTTTGGGGGTTCAGTGCCTTGCTCAAGGGCACCTCAGTCGTGGTATTGAAGGTGGGAGAGAGCGCTGTACATTCACTCCCCCCACCCACAATCCCTGACGGTACGAGACTCGAACCCACAACCTTTGGGTTACGTGTCCGACTCTCTAACCATTAGGCCAGGACTTCCCCCGTAAACTGAAAATTCTGCCTTAACATCACAAGTTATTTTAAATTGTAATAACTTAATTATTTTAAATAGTTTTAAAACATAAAAAAAATCAAATTTAACAAATAAACAATCTAAAAAAATAAAATGAATTAAAGCAATACAAAAGCAGTGTATACATATTTATTATACTTAG